GATATGCCCATTTGAAGTTGCACCTGGAGAGCAGTTATTTCTGGCCGGCCACTGGTGGAGTTTGCTGGCCCTGGATGGGCTTTGTCGGCCATGTGTCGGACATGAATGGACTTGGTCGGCCATTTGTCGTCCAAGAGTGATTCTTGTCGGCCACCAGTGATGGCCGGTCAGCCACTGGTGCAAAAAAGTCAGTTTTTGTGCAGATATTTTCCTCCAGCTATTTGCGCAAAGCTCCAACTGTCCATTTTGAGATATTTTCGACCAAGGCTCATATATTTCTATTTATAGATGACCTATCTCTCATATTGCAAGGTTGGAAAAATTTTGAGAGCCTCTCTCTCTACAATCCTCTCTCTCTCTCTACAATTCTATCTCTCTAGATTTCTCTCTCTCTTGAACTTTTGTGCATACAAGTAGAGATATACTTCTAGTTTACCTATCAACCCTTAACCAAAGTTGCTTATCCTTGGGCTGAGATTACTTGAGACCCTCTTTGAGGTCTAAAAGGTGGTTTTAGCTTGAATTTGTGCCTAGAATTGCTCTTTGCTTCAAGAGGTATAACACTTGTCCTTTAAGCTTATTTTGCACACTTGTTTTGCCATCTATTTCAACTATTTTGAGGCTGGTTCTGAATTGTAAAAACATCTGTTTTTGTGGCTTAAAAGTGGTGGTTTGAGCCCCTTTTGAGTTAAGGGGTGGTCCACCCTTCTTGCTTCTTAGCTTGTTAAGTTTTTTGTGCTATTATCCATCACTTTCAAATCAAACTTTTTGGGCCTTTTAATCACTAAATCTCAGAGATTTTTCAGTGGCAAAAACCTTGTTTTGAAGTCCAAAATTAGAGGGGTTAGCCTCCCCTCCTTGTGTCTTGTTTGCATGCCTAGCTAGCTTCACATGTTAGCATGTTTTTCTAGCTTAACTTAGCTTAAGTCCAGCATGTTTTAGCCTCTGAAATAACCTATTTTAGCTCTATTTTGGGCTGATTAGTTTGTGTAAGTCTTGTTTTGCATAGTTGTAGTGTAACCCCATGTTTTAGCTTATTGTTTTAGCTATTATTATCTTCATTCCAACATGTTTTCCAACTGATTTTGGGCTATAAAAACTCTATGTTTTTGGACTGAAGCTTGGGTCCTAAGGCCATTAAAGGTTGAGGGGTTGATAGCCTTTCTTTGTACCTTGTTATGGAGGCTTTTGCCTTTGTGTTTCCCACCCTTGCATCATCTTTTTCAGAGCTTTTAAACATTGTTTTTCAGAGTTATTTCAGTGGCTAAAAACATGTTTTGAAGTTCAAAAATAGAGAGGGTAGCCTCCCCTCCTTGTGTTTTGTTTACTAGCTTAGCATGCTCTATATTTTAGCCTTTTAATCTAGCTTGTTTTAGCTCAAGTCTAGCATGTTTTTGCCTTTGTTTTAGACTGCTTCAGCTTTGTTTTGGGCTGTTTGGGCCAGTTGAGACTTGTTTTGTGTAGTTGTAGTGTAAGTCCTTGCACTAGCTTGTTGTTTTAAGGCTTTAAGCATCATTGGTGCGACTTGGTTGCATGTTTTTAGTGCTTTTATCATTCAAGTTTAGCACCTAAATCTCTGGAACCTCCCTCTTTGCTTCACTCTCTCATTTTCTTTTGAGGGTTGTTTCAAGCTTGGGATCCTTTAAGCTGGAGATTGAGGTTATGCTTAATGGTTTAATCCTCTTTAAGGGTTCATTATCAAAGGCATGATTTTCTGTCTTGCCTTACACTATCCCTTAGTTTACACCTCCTTCACCTTAGAGGACATTCACTAATGGACTAAATGGATTAAATGATGATTTGGTAATTAAAATGAGTAAACAAAATTGGACAAGTAAAAGAGGCAAGAAAAGCAATATTTGTGTTGCATTGTATGTGTTCAAACCGGACGTTAGTTTGAACACAAGGAAAATGAAATGTGATGAAATATGTCATTTTCCTTGGTCTCCATTGCTCTTGATCATGCATGATAGGGTGATGGTCATTTTGAGTCTTGTTTTGCATTTATTAAAATTGTACAAACTTGGTTCCTTAGCCATCATGCATGGAAATTGCTTGGTTGATGGTTTGAGGGCCAAGGGTTATGCTCCTTTGAGCTTGTTCGATGATAAGGAGGGTAACAGTACAAACAATCCTTGAAAATACACTACTTTGTCTCTGTTTGCTCTTTGTTGCAGCAAGAGGAAGTTCAGACCAAAAGTGGCCGACGGCCACCAGTAGTAGTTGACCGGCCACCAATGAAATTTGCACAGTGTGATTGTAAGGTGGAGCGGAGGCATTCTGGGAGTTAGCAGCACTGTTGGTGTTCAAATGTGCAAACAGAGGCTTACAGCAACGGGGCAGTAGCTTTTCGGGTAGAGAAACCGAGCATACATGCATCCCTCATTTCCCGAGGCCATTTAATTGCTTTAATTGCTTTGTACTTAATTAGCTTAGTATTTAGCTAATTAATTCGATTTGTAATATTTAATTAGCTTAGAATAGTTAGTTAATTTGGTTTGTAATAATTAGTTAACTTAATTAGCATAGCTAGTTGGTTAGCTTATTCATTCAGACCCTCCTTCGCGAGGGCGTAATGTTGTAATAAGTGTGCATGCGTGTGTGTATGTTTTCCAACCCCACGTCTTTCTTCCTTTTATTTAATCGATTTTGATGGTTAGATTAGCGATCATATTTCAAATTAGCTTATCGCATACTTGCATCCATTCATTCGTATTGCATGCACTGAGGCTTAGCGCATCATTCAAACTGCATTGCAATTTCAATAATTCTTTGAATACGTGTTTAATCGCATGTTGTTCAAATTGCGTCACATGCCATATTAGTGGCTGAGCCTATTAATTGCATTAATTGCATGTGTTGAATTAGGAATATTGTATAGTTAGGACTATGAATCTTTCTAACTAGTTTCTGTTTTGGCTTGGAGTACTAGGTGAATTTTATGCTTTAGCATACTTGCATAAGTGTGAATATTGCCATGATTAGCATGCTTGCCATGAGGCTATGTGCTTAAATGCTAAACTGGATGAATGCCTGTGGATGAAGGCTTGTTGTTTAAATTAGAACAATTCAATGAATGTGTGTTTTAAGCCCACTTTGTTGAGTGGCAAATCATATTTTAAGCCCACTATGTTTGGTAGCAAAGCCGCATCTTTAAGCCCACTTGAGGTGGCAAATTCAAATTATTTTTGCAAAACAAACATGAGTTGAATTGTTCCAACTTGAGCAAACTAGTCTATACTTGCTTGTGCGCATCACATAGTAAAGCTAGTTTAAATAATTGGAACAAGAACACATAATGTTTATAAAAAAAAATATCAGGATTAGTAGAGGCCGATCTTTGATCGGACGAGCGGGGGTGCTAATTTCATGACCTTCCCCCTTCGTACCTAAGTTCCTGAGCCGAGGAAACTTTGGTGATGACGGACACGTGGCCTTCGGCACGAGTCAGGGTTTCCTAAATTTCCCAAAAATAAGATATTTAGGTGGCGACTCTGTATCTGGCAAAGCAGTCTAATTTTGGCATTATTTGATTTAAAATCGATTTTCCAAAAAGATTTACCGGATTTGGACTCTTTGGTGTTTGTTAGTTTCACATTGCACTTGTGAGACTAGATTCAGAACCGTGGGAGTCAAAATGCTTGGCAATGTTGTTTGTCGACTAAAATTGTTGGATAGGTTTTATGTCAATTTTCTAAAACCATTCCATGAGGATATGATGAACATGCAAGGAAGCAAGTGCATTGAGCCCTCTTGTGATTCAAAAGCAATTTGATATGAAGGTCAAAAGAATTTTAGATCACAAGACAAAGGGACAGAGCAATGCAAGAAAGATTGAACGACTCATTAACTAGTGAAATGGAAGGGCTCTCCTTAGTCAAAAGTTGGCTGGGAAAAAGATGTCACATTGTGACAATTTGGAAAAAGCAGATCGAGGAGTATTTACAAACCCTATCACCTAGGACATCGAGTTTTTCCGATATGGATGGTTTGCTAGCACCCTAAGCTTTAGGGATACATGATTGCATGTAGTGGCACCTCGCACTTATGTCAACCTAATCGAGGCATGCCAAGACAACAAGGTGAGATAGAATAATATGGCATTGACACTAGACCCACGGACAAGCAATACTTATTGCAACAGATGCAAGGCATAAAGTTGTATTTGACCTAAATGCTCAACAATAGTGTGGCTTATGAGTGAAATACAATCGGTAGACTTGGCTTGGCTTAGTAATTAAAGAAAGGTAAATTCGTGAGTAGCTTGCCCCGGTTTGACAACAGGGATGGACATTATTCGGGCCAAGATAGACTCGTGTTAGGCTTGCGTTACTTATTATGGGACTTCATGTTTACCCAAATTTGGTCCAGCCCAGCCCAAACATCACACCTATTGTTGGTCCCAAGCCTAGCCCTATAAAAAATGCAATTCCCAAGGCTGCCCACTTTAGCCCATATATGTGGAGGGTTTTTTTTTTTCACCCTCTAAGAAAAGAAAAGAAAAGAAAAGAAAAGAAAAAAAAGCGCATACATGCATTACTTACCTAAACAATAGTGTAACAATTATTCATTCTTTTCTAGGCAACATTGTAACAACATTCATAAGAAAAATATGGTGTTAAGGAAAGATTTAAAAAAAAAAAAAAAAAAAAAAAATTTTTCACAAAATTTCTTTTATTTTTTTTTTTTTTTTTTTTTTTTTTTTGATCAGTGTTGTATATATTAGTTCAACACACATTCAGTGCAAGTATAATTTTTGGGTCCATTATTCAGCTCATGATAGAGAAGTTTAATCACCCAAAAAAAAATAGGAGCAATCAAAACAAGCTTAATCACCATGATAAAGAAGTAATATTTCGGTCCATTATTCAGCTCATCTCAATCAAAGTTTAATCTGTTATTAAAACACAATAATCTATTATTTATTCTTGAATAATATGTTATTATAATAATCTATTATTAAATCATTTGATTTCAGTTTAATTTTTGAATGAGCAGAAATGGAGATTGATTCAAATAGTAGTGAGAATCCTTTATTAAATGAGAGTGAAGAAGTTGAGGAACCTAAGAGGGGTATGTGTTTTAACTCAAAGCAAAAAGGGTACACATTTTATGCCAAATATGCTAAACATGTTGGATTTTCTATAGTATGTAAAACACAAGTTATTGGCGATGATGGGGAATTAAGATACTTTGGGCTTGAATGTTCTCAATCGTGGAAGAGAATAAAAAAGTCTGAAGTAAACCCTCTAAAGCCATCTCTGTCCACAAAAATTAGTTGCAAAGCAAGGGTATGAGCAAGCCTACAAAATGATGGGAAAGTATGTTAACCACAGTTAACCTTGAGCATAATCATTCCCCACCGACTCACGCCATTTTGCAATGAATAAGAAAATTCTTACTCCTATGAAGAGAAGATTAGAAATTAACGATCAAGCAGGGATTGGGGTGTCTGGGAATTATAACTCAATGGTTGTTGAAGCTAGGGGTTATAAGTCATTAACATTTGATAAGCGAGATGCAAGGTATTACATTAAGAGAGCTAGAAAATTAAGGCTTGGAGAAGGAGATTCTGATGCACTTCAAAAGTATTTTTTACGAATGCATGCACAAAATTCGAGTTTCTATTATATGATTGATGTTGATACTAACTTTCACATAAGAAACTTGTTTTGGGCAGATGCAATGAGCCAGGCGGCTTATAAAGAATTTGGAGATGTTATTTCATTTGACACAACTTATCTCACTAACAAATATGATATGCCATTTGCTCCGTTTGTAGGAGTTAACCACCATAGACAGTCGATTTTGCTTGGTTGTGGGCTATTATCTAGTGAAGACACTGATACATTTGTTTGCCTATTCAAATCATGGTCAAATTGCATGTCAGATCATCCCCCAAAAGCTATAATAACTTATTGGGTGCAAAGCTATGCAAAATGCTATAGAAATTGTCTTCCCCAATACTCAACATCGATGGTGTTTATGGCATATCATGAAGAAAATTCTGGAGAAATTGAAAGGATATTCCCAATATGAATCCATGAAGGTGGATTTACAAAATGCAGTGTATGACACTTTCACAAAAGATGAATTTGGGATGAAATGGAAAGAGATGATTGCAAAATTCAATCTTTATGAGAATCAGTGGTTGGGGGTGTTATATGATGAGCAACATCGATGGGTTCCTGTCTATGCCAAAGATATTTTTTAGGCTGGCATGTCAACGACACAACGATGTGAGAGTATGAATGCGTTTTTTGATGGATATGTCAACCCAAAGACTACATTAAAACAATTTGTTGAACAATATGACAATGCCTTGAGAAGTAAGGTAGAGAAAGAGAAGAAAGCTTACTTCAAGTCTCGGCACAAAGTCTTTGATTGCCTAACTGTGTATGGTTTTGAGAAGCAATTTCAGGATGCCTACAGCAATGCAAAATTCAAAGAAGTTCAAACAGAGATGAAGAGACTAATTTATTGTCAGCCGTTTCTTGTGAAAAAAGAGGGTTCAAATAATACATATTTTGTGAAGGAAGCCGTAGTAGTTTTTGGGAAAATAAAGCATGTGGACTTTGTCGTCTATTATAATTTGATAGAATTTGATGTGCAATGTATGTGTCGGTTGTTTGAATTTAAGGGCATCATGTGTCCTCACTCTCTCGTTATGCTCATTGCAAGATGCATAAATGAGGTTCCAAATAAATACATTCTACCACGATAGAGAAAAGATTTGGATAGAGGGTATACATGCATAAAAACCACATACACTGGCTTTGGGGGTGATTTTAATGCAAAGGTCTATGATAAGATGAACATAAAATTGATTGGCATTGTACAATTTGCTGGGAACTCTGAAGAAAAAATAAAAATTATCGACCATGGGTTGGATGAAATCAAGGCAAGAGTGATGAAAAATGATGAAGGTGGTTGGAATAATGTGGCACCTTCAACTAGTAATGTACCACATATTACTAGTAATGTACCATCTTCCCCAATTGGCAGCATTAATAGAAAGGGAATCAGTCATACCAAGTTGCTTAGTCTTTTGGTTGCTCGCTGAAAAGGTCGTCTAGTTACTAAAAGAAAGGTCGCCAAAGTGGATCAAATAGTCAATCAGTTGAAGGCAAGCAAAAGAAAACATAACAAATCAAAGGTAAATTGATTGGTGTTCATACATATCCATTCGTTTTGTATCGTTACTCTCTATTCAACTCATATTTATTGTAATCATGTCATACATTTGAGGCATTCATTAACCTTGATCAATATAGGGTACTAAGGTGCTTGGAGGTGAAGGTGAAGGTCAATGTCAATCTCAACCTGAACGTAGTGCACATAGAGAGATTTATCCTTATATAGTTGGCATGGAAAATAGTATGTGTGTGCCGGTACGTGTACATCATAGGAATTTACATCGAGCAATTTATGTTATTTTTCAATAATTTTAAGTATATTGATTTTAACATTTCATTTTAATTGAATAGGGACACATGGTCAATGTTATTTGATGCACATCTCTCACCCCGGTGTAGACACCCCATTTTTGACCGTCCTCAAGACTTGGACGTCACCTTTGGAACACTCGGTGATCCTCTTTGTTTGTGTTCCGTCTTGAGTTCCCAAAAGTCTTGGCTACGCGCCTTGCCTCAGGATCTCTCGACTCGACTGTTCTGTGTTTGGTTTTGGCACCAAACACTTGTGTTTTTTCCTTGAAGGGCGGGGAATGGCTTGTTGGCCATCCCCACATTCCACCGACCTTCCCCTAGCATCACCGACTGTTTATGGGTGCCACCGGCCATGGTTTCTTAAAATCAGTAGCCGGTCGGCACTTTATTCTGCCGGCGACCTCTTTTGCTGGCCGGTGTGACTTCTCTGCACCCTTGAGGCATGGTGCATGCCAGCTGTGCCAGCTGGAATGCACCATCACTCCTCCCCGTGCAGTTTTTGGCTGGTATGAACCTTTGAACCCCCTTTTCTTCTAGAAGCTTGAACCCTTTGGCCAAGCTTCTTGGGGAAGCTTGGCCAGCTGTATTAGCTTCTCCAAGAAGCCAAGAACCCTTTTGCACCATTTACCCCTTTCATCTAGCTTCTTGGAGAAGCCTAGAACCTTGGCCTTTGCCTATATAAGCACTCATCCTCTCCCTTTGTTAGAGATTAGAGCTTTTGAATCAAAAACCAGAGCTTCTATATCTATACATCTGATATATCATCCTCTCTCTCTATATCTCCCTCTCTCTCATCCTTAGGGTGTGTTTGGAAGCCTAAAAGTGCATTTTGACCTTACTTTTGCACTAATACACACACCATTACACCTTGCTCCGAGATTGGGAGGCATTGAGGGTTGTTTGTTGAGGTTTTGGACTGATTTTGATCAGTAGAGAGTGGCTGGATCATCTGTTCTTCAAGGTTTCTTCAAGGGTGAGACATTTGCTTTAGTTTTCCCAATCTTGCACTAGTTTTCTACCTGTCTTGCATGCTGATTTAGGCTTTGTGTATAACATGAAAAGTCTTGTATTTTCCTGCTTAACATCTTTCATTAAGGGAGTTTTGTCATTGGGGGTCGAACTCTTCCCCTTAGGCCCCTTTTGGCCTATTTTGGTGCCCTTTTCTTTAAGCTTTGTTTACTTTGTTGTGTTGGTCTTCTCACCACTGAAATCCAGTGGATTTCTAGTGGTGATGGAGTGATTTTGAAGTCTTGAGTAGGGGAGGGACACCCCTCTCCCCGTTGTCTTTCTTTTACCTTTGTTTTGGCTTAAAAGGGCAACATGCATGCTTGGTTGTTTTTGGTCCCATCTCAGAGGTTTTTGGGTGCCTATTAGTCATGTTATATCTCTGCCTCTGGTCGGATTTGTAGCCCTTAGCATGCATCTTGTGCTTGCTTTGTAATTCCTTATCTTGCCTAGAAATGTGCCATGTGTTTAGCCTAGTATATCTTCATGATTTGGCTTAGCTTATTGAAGTTTTTGGTCATGATTTTTCATGCTTTAGGTCTGTTGGCCAATGTTTTATCATGTTTGTCGTGTTTTACATAGGTCCTTTACATTCTAGAATTTTGGCCTTGCGCGAATGAGTCATTAGCATGCTTTAGTTAGGTTGTTTAAATGATTTGGAGTCACTTGTTATGCTATTTCAGTCCCTATATCATGCTTGTATGACAGCATTCATCATCCTTTTATGCCTTGAGGTGTTGTAGTTTTGTGCCTTGAAATGGGCATTGTGCATACTTGCATGTTTAGGTCACTTGGGTTGCCATTCATGAGGGTTTTGGGGTGTGTTTTAATGCATTAAAACTCTGTTTTTTTGGTTGTTCCATTCATACCATATGTGGTTATGATAGTTGTGGTAGAAGGCTTCTTTTATGCCTTAGCCTTATGCTCCTTGGTATCCAAGTTTGCATGAGTATTTGCCCATCATTCCATCACTTTTGGCCACTGTTTTGGGGTGTGGCTGAGGGTCCTCCATCATAGTGTAAGTCCATGGATCATATATTTGCATCTTGTAGTATGCTCATGACATTGCATGTTGTGGTATCCTTGTGGTTTGTGCATTGTTGCATGCCCACCTCTTTACATACTCGCCTATCTAGTGTGCATTGTAGTATTGCTTGTAGTGTTGTATGCTAGTGGCATTACCATGTTGTTTGCATAATAGTTTGCATTGCATCACATTTGACATGTTTAGCATCTTAGCTTCTTGTTGCATTTTTGAGCCATGTTTGCACAACATACATTGTATTGCTTGGGTTTGGGGTGTCAAACCTAGTGTGAGGGTGAGAGGTGTTCATACTACAAGTGATGAAACACATCTCAACCCTCGGTCACCGAGGCCCTTGACTTTGACATGATAGGGTCTTGGTCCTCATATTGTGTGTTGCATGCATTTTACATTGAATGGCAAGTTTGGTCCCTTAGGCTATCATGCACAATTGATGGCCCAAGGATCAAGAACCATGCTCCCCTGAGTTCAATACATGATAGGGAACATGATCATGCTTACATGTGCTTGAAATTCTATGCCATGCACTACCTGTCCTCTGCTGCTGCCAAAAACCAACTTCTGCAGGAAGTTTTTGCCGACCGGCACTTTATAATGCCGACCGGCCGTATATTGGTGGCCGATAGACTTGAAAGCAGCCAATGGAAGTTTCCCATGGCCGGTGGTCATTTCACATAGCCGGTGAAGTTATGCAGTGCTCATTGAAGATACCCTGAGACTTTGGCAATTTTCAGAGGAGCAGGGCAGCATTAACAGAGGCAGCAGTGGCATGGTACGGGTTTCCGGGCAAAATGGACCAAGCATGCATCATTCACGCATCCCGAGGCGGGGGCTGCGGCCGTCTTCTCTTTGCATTTAATTTGCTAATTAGATTAGAAATTCTTGTACATATTTAATTTAGTATTATTATTCAGCTGTAATATTTATTCGGCCTCCGAGCGAGGGCAATTGTGTAATAAGTGTGGCGTGAAGTGTGTGTATATCTTCCAACCCCACGTCTTTCTTCCCTTTTATTTATACCTTGCTTATGATGGTAGACTAGGTCATATTTAAATTAAGCAAACCTTATTGCTATTGCATGGCGTGCATACTCAACATTTGTCTTGCATGCACCGGGCTCGGGCGCATCATTCTAACTGCATTTGTATTATCAACATCCAAATGGAATACGTGTTAGTTTGTAGCATTCACCATTGTCATTGTACGATAGCCGAGCCTATCTTAGTTGCATCTTGCATGCGTTGCATAGCCATCTTACATGAACTAAGGAATCCATGCATATGATTATTAACTAGTTTTTTGTTTTGGCTCGGTGGTACATCGGTAAGCATTTATGCTTTACATCCGCATGCGTGGAGTTTGTTGCATGATAGCATGATTACCATGAGGCTTGCTGTTATGGATTATGACTGCTTGAATGCCTGTGGGTGAAAGGTTGGGATTGTCTGAGTTTGGAAAAACTCATTGAAAATCCGTAATTTTAGCCTACTTGCGAGTAGCAAATTCCAAAGTTTTTTTTTTTAAGACAAACGGATAGCAAATGCTTATTTTCCAATTAGGCAATCTGTCTATTAGCTTGTTTGCTGTGCGCATAACATAAGTATTCTAATGGCTAATACTGGAATAAGAAAACACATAACGTTTTCAAAATGAAATATTCACGTTAGTAGAGGCCCGATCTTCGATTGGGCGAGAGGGGTGCTATTACGCTGACCTTCCCCAATCATAACCCAAGGTCCCGAGCCATGGCAAGACTTTGGTGATGAGACCGTGGCCTTTGCACCGAGTCAGGGTTTCCTAAATTCCCCCAAAATAAAATAATTTAGGTGGCGACTCTGTATCTGGCTAAGCAGTCCATGTTTGGCACTTCTTTTCAAAAATCTGTTTCTGAAAATGACTTGCCGGATTTGGACTCTTTGGTTCAGATTAAGAACCGCAAACAAAATCAAGTCGGAACTGTAGCGTGTAGTGGGTCCCACGCGGACGTGCTATAGTTTCTGGCGACTCTACTGGGGATTTAGAGAGCTTGACTCAAACTCATGATATCCTGTTATGATTACACTTATGAGTTTCTTTGCATTGCATGTGCATTGGTGCGCCTAGGAACACAGTGTTTGCCATCTGCCATTCCTGAACGGTTTGCCAAAGGCTTGTCTTGTCAAGACATGACCATAAGGCTGACCGGTTATGGGCTCTGACAGTATGGGAACACAAACCCCAGTTTTACCGAGGCACCCTTTTCGACCATTCGACCTAGTGCATATTCGGATCCATAGTGACCATTCCAAGTTAGGACAGGTTGCTTACCCGATTGTAGGTTGTTTGAAACCGCTGCGTGCATAGTGACACCCTAGCTCCTGACAAAATAGGACAGGGAAACCCTACCCCAACATAGGGGTGTTTTGGCTCTCACTTATCTTCTATGTGCTTTAGAGTATATCTCTACAGGAACGTACATATCAGTTTGCAAGATTGAGTATCACGCCCGAGGGTACCAGTATCAGTGTTGTTGAGAAATCAGTTATCTGCGGATATCGAGTTCAGTTTTGGGAACGGTGATTCGAG